TTATATCATTCCTCGCCAGCTCTCGTTTATAGATTCTCTTATATCAGAATTATATTAAACATCATTAGGATCTCTTGTTGAAATATTTCTTTTATTAATTAAAATTAAAATTGATATATCATCAAAAAATTATCTTGATTGGACATGAATCTCGAGACAAAATCAAGTTTAAAACTTACGAAATTAGAATTGGGACCATTTGGATTACCGACTGACGCCTGAATTTCTGCTCAACCAAACAACGTGATCTCAATTTGTTATTAGATTTCACTCAAACGGTTGATTACTGTAATATGATCGCCCTCAAGGACGATTTAATCAACTGTAATTTACTCAAACACTAGTGGAATCGTTTCAACTGTACATGACCTCATAGATTTTCTCTCTTTTTTTATTTTTCTCGTAAAAAAATTTGTGTTTGTTAGTTTGTGTGCTCAATATTCGTACAAAATTGAAGCATAAACTTATGACTCCACCGCCACATATATTATAGCCAGCAATTAATCAAGTATTAATCATGTAAAAACTAATAGATTAGAGAGTAATTAAAGACTTCTCATGTTGTCCCTATCCATCGTTTTGCGTTATTTTCAACACAGCTGCATCCGCGCAGCTTCAACCTTTCTTGCTCCAGCTCATTGTCTAATCACCCCTTAAAAATTCATTAGTGACAAAGATTAAGTTATTACACAGCTTAAGCTTCTTTTGAGACGTCTTTCTTATTATTTTACTTTTCAAATTACAACCATAATTTTTATTTGATCATAATTTTAAAGCTTTTTACATCAACTTTTTAAAAAATTACTTTCAGCTTTATAAAGTAGTCAAAACCGGTTTTTAAAACAGTTTTTTAATAAAAATTTATAGTTCGAAAATTTTTATGCTAAAAAATTACTTTTAAAAATAATAAGAAAAACATCTCAAACGAAACCTTAAATCTTGCCACGAAGGTCTTTGAAGCTGCAAATAAGAGCAAAATTATAGTAAACAATGAGGAGAAATCCTGAGGCATTTTTCTCTATTTTCAAACGCTAGAAGGACTTATTCTTTTTTTCAATTTTTTTTTTCCTTAATGGTTTTCAACCAGACCAGCTCATTTATCCCAATTAATTAATGATAAAAGTGAGAAATCCTCGTCTGGAAATACTGTTAGTTGTTCATGTTTTATTGCATACGTGTGATAGAAAATTATTATTCTTATTATTTTTGAAGTTTACATGGAATTATTAAAATGAAAACATGCCTTGCATATATGGGAACATTGTCATGGCATATTTTTATTATTAAAAATAGAGAGAAGAAAGATATATTGAATTGGCATTAATATATATATATATATATTGCGAGCTAGAATATACGCGGTGATAGAATTTTAATCGTTCGTCTTAGCGTTATACGAATATCCAGCTCACACACAGAGAACATAAGATTTTTTACATTGAATGAAAGGGGAAAAACCACGAGGCCTAGCCGAGTTGAAAATATTTCACTAGAACTTGAGTTAGTTATAATGGCCTGACTCGCCTCTGAAGACGATCAGATTACAAGTAGCAATTGTACAATGGAAGTATGGGTGTCGAGTAATGATCTGGCAGGACTTCGGGCCTCAGATGATGATCAGGCAGAACTCCGAGCCTTAGATGATGGTCTGGTAAAGATGAGAGTCTTCGACAATGGCCTGGCAAAGATGAGAGCTTCAGGTGAAGGTTTGGCGGAACGTAGGGCGTTCGACGAAGGTGAGGGCCTCAGGTGGTGGTCCGACGAAGCACAGGACGTCAGGTGATGGTCCGGTGGAGTGACGGCGTTAGGCGGTGATCCGGTGGAGTATATGATGTTAGGTGGTGGTCTAGAAAAGCACAGGATGTCAGGCGATGGTCCGGCAGAGCGACGACGTTAGGTGGTGGTCCGGTGGAGGACAGGACGTTAGGTGGTAGTCCGGTGGAGTGACGGCGTTAGACGGTGGTCCGGTGGAGCATAGGGCGTTAGCTGGTGGTCCGACGGAGTGATGGCGTTAAACGGTGGCTCGGTGGAGCACAGGGCGTCAGGTGGTGGTCCGGCGGAGCGACGACGTTAGACGGTGGTCCGGTGGAGGACAGGACGTTATGTGGTGGTCCGGCAGAGTGACGGCGTTAGACGGTGGTCCAGTGAAGGCAAGGGCCAACTGTCGGCGGTGGTCCGGCGAGACTCCGGCGGTGGTCCGGCGAGACTTCGGCGGTGGTCGAGGAGGCTAGGAAGCAAGAGCGATATCTGATCTCTCTCTGTTTTCCTTAGGCTCTGGGGGGTCCCTTTTCAAGAGGAGAGGGGGCTCTATTTATAGATTTTGAGAATGACATGGACCGTAAATAGTTGGAGGATCAAGGGTTAGTTGGGAGTGGTTGGATGGACGGTCGATCTTGAATCCCTTGATCATGAACCGTTCGATGGACGTTTGAATGTCGTAGTGATGTCGGAATTTAGTGATCTTGGGCTCGTTGGATTCGTCTCGTCGAGCCGCTCGATTTGACTGTAAGCTTGTTATGTTTAGAATCCATTTGGTAATCCAAATTGTGGTTTGAACCTTCCAACAACGCTTCAGGTCCTTGATTTGGACCCATTTGGGCTCAGATTTGGTCGAATTTGGTGTCGTTGGGTTCGTATTTCCGAGACGCTCAGTTTGATTATAAGTTTGCTGAAATCGGAGATCGGTTGCTCTTAATTTTAATTCCAGAAGTTTCTAACTTGATTTTGCTTTGAGATTCGTGCTCGATCAAGTTAATTTTCGAATGATGTTATATATATATATATAATATATATATATATAATGAATTTATGTAATTAGAAATTTATTGTAGGTGCTTGTAAAAAGAATAAATATATTTAAGTTTAATGACTGTCTTAAGCTTAGTTGAAAAATAAATAATTGAATGAGAGATTTTAAGTTGAGAAAATGGATTCTTTTGTAATGAAACAAGAAAGAAATTTTATTTAAAAATTATGGGAAAATAAAATGGAGTAAGAAAAATAAAATTAATGTCAAATAGCTATTACGTTTATTTAAGTAATAAATATAGTTTTTTTTTTATTATAGTTTAATTGGGCATGCAAATAGTGTCTCGGGAGAGATTATTATGTGTGGAGTCCGGACACAGAGAATCATTTGAATTTGTGAATGTGAACAGTAAAAGCGCAGGAGTGAATAGTAAAAGCACACTGGTGAGCATAAATTGGATGACTAAATGAATTCTAAATGTGATGCTTATAGTCGAATTGAGCGGCTCGACGTTATGAATCCAACGAGCCCATGAGCGTTCAACTCAAACACTCGATAAATAGTCCATAATCAAGGAAATCAATATTGATCACCCATCTGAAACACTCTCAACATGCCCTTGATCTTCTTCATATTTACTATACGTGCCACTCCCAAAAAACTATAAATAGGACTCCCCCCCCCCCCTTCCCAATTCTTAACAAAAGGGGAGAAAAAGGAAGGGAGAAGGAAAGGAAGACGGAAGAGAAATATGAGATCTCTCTTGCCACCAAGCTCCTCCTCGACCACCACCCGCACTTTTGTCAGACCACCACTATAATCGGTCTTTCGCTGGACCACCGCCCGTCATCAGACTTCTTTTTAGAACTTTGCCCAACGCGGGACTTCCGTTCATCGTCAAACTTCCGCCCATCGCCGCACTTTCATCGATCATCGAACTTTCTCTCGTCACTGGACTTCTGCCTATAGCCAGACTTCTACCGGACCACCGTCCATCACGAGCCACACGGGATTTCCGCCCGTCGTTGGACTTCCACCCAACCACCACCCGTCATCGGACTTCCTCAGTCGCCGGATTGATGCTTGACCACCAGCCGTCACCAATTTTTTGCCTAACCAATGGTCATCACTGAACTTGTGGCTAATCACCGACAAAGTCGGAATTGTGGCAAACTCTTTGATCTATTATAGTTTCACCTTCTCTAAGTTAAAAGACAGACCAAGCTTTGTAAAAATTTGAAGTACTAGTGAAATCATTTGAATTGTGCGAGGCTCCGTGATTTTTCTATTTTATAGGGTTTCCACGTTAAAAACTTCTTGTATTTTTCTCTCTCTCACCTATATGTTAGAGTGCTAGATATACATACAATCATAAGACACATTATTCTCTCACTCTACTGCGACATATATTCTTGCCCACTACAAGAACAAATTTTTACCATCAAATTTATAAGAGTTGATAATGCAAAAAAATAATTATCTTTATTTTTCAAATGAAAATTATAATATCCACAATAACTTTCAAAATATTAATTTACTTATAAAGCTTCATATTTATTATAAATCCATAATTAAATTTAGGGGTGTCAACTAGTTAAGTTGAGCTAGAGTCACTCTTAGCTTAAGCCTGAGCTTGATTAATTAATCGTTCGAGCTCAGGTTTTATTCTACGAGATCGAGTCGGCTGAAAAGCTGGCTTGTTTATCGTAAAAGAGAGACAATGCTTATGATAAAGCAATTATTATAGTAAATTGATGAAAAATGATAGATTAGAAGAAAATTAATAAAGAACCATTTAATATGAGCAAATAAGATGTAATTATTAAATATTTTTAAATACCTTGTTTTTGAAATTGTAGATATTTATATACTTTTAAGTGTATTTGTTGGAGTGAGCTAATAAGTCCAGTTGAGGCGGGCTCAAATTTGACTCGTTCGCTCGTTGAGCTCAACTCATAAGACATTTATCGAGTCGAGGTCGAGCTGACTCACGAGTTGGCTTGACACCCGTAATTAAATTAGTGATGTTGTCTGAATATTGACTTGTAAAAAATTATTAATAATTAAGCTATTAGGCAAGCTGAAAAAGTTTACATAGAAAACAAATGGCCGCCTTAAGCAGGTTTGTTAGTGGGCCACGTGGATCGATTTAATTAAGCAAAGATCTCTATTAAAGCTTTAATCACTCGCATCAATCTACCAATCTAAAAAAATCCAAAATTGGAGCTTTTCGTCTCCGGCGCTGACGAGCATGATCCTCAACCCTGTTCTAATCACGGCCGGAGTTTTCGCCGGCGTTGGTCTAACGATGACGAGCCTTTACTACCTCCTCTCCAGGTTCCGCCCCGCCATCCATCAACTCCCGCCTTCGCCACCGCAGCCGCAAGGCCCGAAATCCACTGCAGCAGCAGATCTGAAGGAGGTTCTCAGCATAATTCCGGTGATCTATCATTCTAATAACGAAGGCTATCGCGATTGTTCTGTGTGTCTTTCATCGTTCGAAGAAGGCGAGAAAGTTCGTTTCTTGCCCGATTGCGGCCATGGATACCACGCTGTCTGTATCGATAAATGGCTCTGCACCCAGCTGAGCTGCCCGTTTTGCCGATCCCCCGTTAGTACTCCGGCGAAGTCTTTGGTCGCGGAGCCTGAGGCAGGGGAGTCGTCGACTGCTTCGAGGACTCTTCTGAGGATAAAAATGGCTTTTTGGCGAAACAGGACACCGCTGGACTCCTCGACTGGGGATGAAGGATCGAACGGTGGAGGGACGCCTGGGCATGAGAGGGAGGAAAGCTCTCCGGTGTGAGACTGATTGTTCCATCAAAGTTCAGAATTTTGATTCAGTTTTTTAAAAAATATATAGGTAACGCCTAATCTGTAGTATATTTATTATTCAAAGAAATATGGAAGTTAAAACTATGGAAGAAGAAGGTTGACAGCAGAGATAATCTGATATTGTTTGTGCAGAGCTTTACAAGTTAATGTGAAGATCTAATGTTTAATTATTATTTATATTATAATAAGATTTTATTTTTAAGATATTTTGGATGAGAAAAAATCATAAAATTTTGAGTGGGATTTATATATCTAATATTTAAATCATTATATTTATTTGTATATTATTTTAATATATAAATCACTTCAAGATAAATATATATGCATTTAGGGGTGTTCATATTTGACACGATCTGAAAATCTGCCTCGAACTCGACACGAAAATTTCAAATTAGAGCCAATCGTTGGGTTCAAGTTTCTGGATTCGACCTGTTTGAAAAAAATGAATTGGGTCCAGGTCAACCCACTAACTCAGAATTGACCCCGACTGACCCAGAAAACCACATCGCATCCCTGTCAAGTCTCTCACATCATCTCGTTGCGTCAGGTGCTCTCCACCGTCTACTAGCTCATCCGCATGTCGTTCTAGCCGGGCAAACTATCAGCTTCCCTCCGCCGTTCGCCCTCCGTTGTCCGCGTGCCACCCTCAGTCGCCCTCCGTCATCTGCTGTCTGCCCTCTGCCATCGTTGTAGCTGTTGTCGTCTCTAAAAATGTAAATGGCAAATAACTAAATAAAAAAAAAATTTATATAAGTTAAAAATAAAATAATTAAAGTTAGGAGATAAATTCAAATGTAGAGATGATTCATAACAATAAAATAAAGTTTTTGGAGCTCTAATTAGATAGTGGATAGGCAGCAAAGATTGCTATGAATTTCTTGTTAGTACTTTGTAGCTATTGGATATGCATTAAATCTCTATTAATTATCATATTAGTTTTAAAAAGTTGTTATGACTTATGACTCACATTTCCTTTTAGAAAATTTTGTTTTTATTTTCTTTTTTTCTTTATCCCAAAAATTGTGACGCAAAATATTTTTTTATGATCAAATGTATTAGAGTATGATAGCCATACGACACTTGATGTCTAATTTTTTCAAAAAGAAAATATATTATATTATTCACAATGTAATTAAGGAATTTATTTTTCTATGCTAATTTTTTTATAAATAGCTATAATTATTTGTTAAGTGTAAATTGTGTATTGTTTATTGTGTTAAAATTCAATGAAAATATATTGTTTTAGTTGTGATTGTGCAAGAAATGTTTAGGAGAAACAAAAATTCTTAAGTATTGAATGAGCCACAAATTCGGCGCTGCAGTATTGTCATCTACAACACCCCAGGGCCTATTTTAGACATTGCATTGTCGGCCTCTCAGGAATTTAAGGAAAAATCAGCATCACAATAGAGACAAGGTCAGTGTTGTTGCACCAAAATTCAACATCACAGCACTGGAGTATCAAGAAGATGAGCACCGGAGCACCAATTATCACATTGCCGCAGTGCTGGATTATGCATTCAAGTACTGCATCACTTAACTTTTTCAAAAAACAAAGAGTAGCACCGACATCAGTCAAAAGACACGCCAGTTCAACCATTAATCATGCTAGGTCAGCATAACATCGCAGCGGAGTAAGTTTTATAGTGCCGGTGCGCTAGTTCTTTTCACAACGCTGCAGCGCCCATGCTAATAGGGTCGCGATGCCTGAGGCTGTTTTTGCTCTTGTATAAGTAGTTTTTCAGTTATTTTGTTAGAGAGTTTCATGATTTTGAGTGGAGTCTTATACTTTTGAGTGTTTTACTTTAGTTTCCCCTTAGACTTACCCTTAGAGTAAAGTCTAAGGGAGGCTAAGAAAGTGCAAGATACTTTCATTTGGATATCTTAGCATGTATTGTGTAAACAATTGTATTATTGGACAAAGAAGGAGAGTGGACAATATCAATTGATTCTTCCAGGTGACATTTATCTTATTAATTCTCCCATTTTTTTTCTCGTATGAATGAAATGAACATGAGTTTACTTTTTGTGTTATCTATGTCTAGCTAAATATATGAGTTTTGGGCTAATTATGTAAAAGCATAGCAAGTACTAATATAAACTCTTATACTTTGAATTATTTTATAGATGTTTTCACTATTTCTCGTTCTTAATTTAATGCATACAATGATCATGTATGTATGTAATTAAAATCTAGTGTGATGTATTACCTGTACGAATGAATATTAGAATAAATATATAGGAGTATTGAAATAGAATATTGACATACTTAGACATAGGATGCTAAATCTCTATGTTCAATGGAGATATTACAATTGTAGGAAGACATTAAACCTCTCTTTTTACCCATACAAGCTCGACATAGATCTAGGGATGCATATGTCTGATCCATATCTAAATTTAAAAGTCTAATCAGGAAAAGTAACCATGTTGTTTTATATTCATTAGTCCAAAATATTTTATTTACATTAGTATTCAACTTTCTTGCAAGTTTTCATTAAGTAGCAAAAACTAAAAAAATATCCACTTTACATTCAATAGGATAAATTGGGCCTTTAGATTAAATAGTAGTTTAATTACAATTAAGCATAACATTTCCTCGTGTGATTGACACTCTTTTCTATCAATTTATTATTTCATCAGCGCATATAATTGCGTATTTAACGAGCTTTTATTATTTTTATATCAGAAAAATTCTAAGTATATTCATATTGCACGTTAGCTCTTTGTGTAGCACAACATTGACCGCAAAGTCCAAACCACACCAAACACTACCCTAAATAAATCCCTAATCTAATTTGATGTGTATTAATTTTGTAACAAATTAATTTATATGTAGCAACTTAGGGTGTTTAGTGGGGGATCTTTTTTACTGCTTTGTTTTTCAAAATGTTGACATAATTCGATTAAGCTTTTACTTTCTTATCGCTTTTAAGAGAAAAATTTATGACACGAAGCCATTTGTTATCATGAGATCTATTAAAATAGGATATTTATAAAAAAAAAACTATTATCAAACTTCATAAAATATATTTATAATATTTATCGCAATAAAAAAAAATTGTTTTTCACAACAAATTTACAATCATATTTGTAAACATCTTAAACAGGAAAAATTATTCTGTGCGGAAGCGGAATCCCATCCGGATGCCTAAGCCCGCTGCTCAGTACCACGGCTCGATATAACTGACGTGACTCATTCTGATTGATATCCGAATGTAGAACTGCATTCGGCTTCTGCACAGAATAATCTCTGCTCAAACAAACCGTTAATAAGATAACACTTTGAAACTAATCCTTAGCAAATATTAAATAGTTCTTATCCTAACATCAGTAAAAAACCAGTGTCAAATCAATCCATATCTAACTAATTTGCATCTAATTATGTTTTTGCAATCTTTTCCTTATTTTGATTAAATATTGATTATATTTTTTTAATAAAACTATATATTAATCAAATGCAAAACAAATTATTAGATAAGACATATCCTATTGTGTATTATGTACAATAATAACTCTCAAGCATATAATAACTTATTGAAAAAATTCATCATATAATAACTTGGAGTTATTTTAGTTAGCTTTCTCTTGTATTTTTAATTAGGGAAGAGTGAGAACAGTGCATGTGAGAAGAGAAGCATGGAGAGAGTGAGAGAGAAGAGAGATCTGTACTTATCTCTTCCAAATTTCATAATGAATTTCTTAGCGTGGTGTAGCTCCATAATTTTTTTCCCTATTTTGAATTTTTCCACGCTTAAATCTTATTGTCATTTACTTTTATGCTGTTTTTACTTTCTTACTTGTTTCATCATTGTAGTGCTTACTCCTCCACATCTTCCCCAATAGTAGTAAAGGCAAAATAATTATTATGTTAATATCTTCATACTCCCATCCATTCCCCACAACTCAACTCTTTCTTCCCAAGTTCTCTAGCCGATTTGGCTTGCCAAATTGTCTCACTACAGGAAAATCACTCATTACCGACGAAATTTTCGATCTTCTGTATGAGCTGGGCAGTATTGTCAGCAACCAGGTATCTTTGCAAGGTTCCCAAGGGAGGAGAGCCCCCCTACAAGCTTGCGAAAGCCTCAGCTCTCTTTTCTGCCTTAACAGTTTAACTAAAGGATCATGATCTTCCTCATACCATGGCAACAAGGAGTGTCAAGTATCATTGGAAAGCTAATATTACAGTAGAATCCTTTAAAAGCTTCGAAGGTCCCAAAGTTATAAGGTGAACTATTTTCTTCTAAAATTGTAAGCGAATTATGCGTTTTATTCATATAAATAAATAGTTTCAAAATAAAATTTTAAAAATCCCTCATAAAAATATATAATTTTGAACAGTAATTCATTTATTTATGCATATTCATGAACATACTCTTCCCCAGAAACTTAAAGAAGTTACTTCTAATGCATCCTCTACGCGTTACGTGCAATTCAATGAACTATTCTGACTTCCTTCCAGCTGAAGTTGCAGAAGATACTCAAATTAAAAATGAAACCAAACACACTATCTACCACTTAATTGCCATTTTACGTAACTGTATGCGTTTAGTGTTAAGACAAAAGAACACAAATCACAGTTAAGTGACAATAATAATAAATGAATAAGAACAGTCTATTAATGGTGATTTGATTTGTTTCCAAAGGCCCAAACATCAGCATTAGCGAAATTATTATGATCTGGATGCCCAAAATCACCAATACGTTATATATCATTGCTATGTACCGCTGTGTATCTGATGACGTAATGCCGGTGATAAATGGTTGAGATGAAGCCCCCACGTTTCTGGTCACCTCACGCAAAGCACACACTAACGTGCACTTAACTAACACAATCTTTCTCTTCCTTTTGCTTTCTCTCCAAGCACTGGAAGTCATGGCTGTTTCGTTGATTCAGTAGGTGAAGATTTTGGTTTTCGCTAAAAGGGAGTAAATTTCGAAGTAATCTGTTCAACGATCGAGAAAATTTTTATGTTATGTTGTATGAGAAAAAATACATTTTGAATGTGTGTCCGAAAGTTAATAAGTTTTAATTGTTTGGCGTTTGCAAATTAATGAGATGAAACAAGTAACTAAAGAGTTTGTAAAGGGGATAGGAAACGATTCGTTTTGATCCATGAACAGAATGTTGCGAGTTAAATTTAATCTGAAAAGATTTCAAAGAATCAATAAACAATGGTGGATGCTGAAAGACTTAACATAGTTCACAAAGCCCCAGTTATGTTTGGAGGAAACCAATGAGATGATGCACAAAATGAAAATTTTAAGAAAAGAAAAGAAAAAAGAGATTAGTGACGCATAATTCAATTAGAATCTGATCAGTAATGGCAATCAAAGATCGCAGATGTCAGCAACAGAATCGGTGCTCGGCTCTCAAAGGAGAAAGGCGGTGTCTTTGTCGCGGAAACAGAGGAAGGAGACTTCGCTGGATTGACATCTTCATCGCAGGGAGCAGGGAGGTTGAGATCCAGGGAAAGACCGTTCGAATTCCTCTCCTTCTTCGCCGGTTCCGGTAGGTTTGCAGGGCGGTGCCGCCGCATATGTCCGCCGAGAGCCTGACCGGAACTGAACTCCGCGCCGCATATCGAGCATTGGTGAGTTCTGGCCTTTGCGGCGACTTTCGAAGGGAATGAATTCATGCTTAGCTGAATCGAATCCTCGTCCATCACCACCGTCTTCGTCGCATTAACCACAAGCTTGGGTTTTTTATGGCTCGCGCGATGCCCGCCGAGCGCCTGAAAGGAGGGAAAGCATTTACCGCAACTCTTGCATATGTAGATGTAAATTCCAGCGCGGCCGCCGGTGGTCGTCGGCGCCTCTACGAATCGCTTGCTGTCAGATTTCATGCTGGTAGTCGGGTCCTCTGTTATGTCAAGATCTGGCCTTTGATCGCCTTGGGCAAGGAGCATGAGACATTTAGCCATTTCTTCGTCCTCCTCAGTTACGCAATCAGAGAACTCCGCGGAGGTCGACGTATACGACACAGCCGCCGCCGCCACCGGCGCAGCCTCCGCCAATGGAAGCTTTAACCATTGCCGCTTGGTTCTCTTCCTTTTCACCATGGGCAAATCTTCCATTATACCTTCCATTGATGGGTAAGAAACAACCTTTTGTCGAGAGAAGTGAAGGGTGAGGAAGGTTAAGGGCTGTTATATATACTGAATTGGATTAGAAGCTGTGGACTTTAATTTGCGAGTCAAAACCGGACATAAAAAGCCGCAAAATCACTCCTTTTTCTCTCCCCCTCTCTTTAAAAACCGCAAATGTTCGCTATCTTTCCGTTTTCAAGTTCACTTACTTCTCTCCTATGGTTATTAATGGAGCAGAAGAAACCCGATAAATTAGAATCTGATGTGGGCGATATTAAACCAAGAACACTCAGTCAAATAAGGAAAAAAAGGAGAGTTTTTTGCGGGAATGGGAGAGGCTTAGAGTGAAGCGAGGAACAACTACTAAGGGCCCTGGCTGTATATTTCTATTTTCCTGTGGTTTTTACACTTGTCACTTAGTTGTTTTAGAGAGAGAGAGGGAGAGAGAGAGAGAGGTGGGCCGGGTGTGTAGCTTCTTCCGTTGGAAATTAAGGAGGTTTTATTTGAGGCGGTTTTTTTATTATTTTTTAAAATAGTTTTTTATTTGCATAAAATTTTTAATTTTTAACTAAAAATTTGCTTCAAGAAGCAATAAGAAAGTCGTCCCATACGAAGCTTGAATCTAATTCAAATTATATGTATCAATCTAATTAACGACTTGTAGATTTCACTATCATAATTATCCTAAGATTTTACAACTTAATTGATTAGAGCATGAAAAAAATACTAAAGTCTCTTCCAATCAGCTTATATATACTAGATTAGATATGATATTAGCCTTATTTTAGATCTAGGAGATTGGCTGTGGGGCTCACTGGTCGAGCGAAACAATTCCTCCCCGCGATGCTCACATTCGAATATGTTAAATTGCCAAAAAAACTAAAATGATCAAATGCAACTAAGATGTTCTTATAAAATATTATTTAAGCTTCAAAACTCGATAATTTGTGTATTATTAGATACAGTGGGCATAGTTCCTCTCAAGAAATTTTAGCTCGTATTAAAGATAGCAAGGACTGTTCATGGATTAATTATTCTGTGCAGACGTCGAACACCGTCTGGAGACCAATCAAAATGTGTCATGTCACCCCCTCACTGTATATCGCGGCTCAGTACCACTGACTTGACATAGAGCTGAGTACGACCTCCGCACAGAATAATCTCTCATATTTATGGTGGTGATGGTGCTCAACATTTCGAGCTTTCTCTCTAACTATAAATTTGAGTGATTAGTGGCATAATGATATATAGAGCCATTGACCTGAATTTTATTAGATTTCTAAGTTCATCTTACAAACTTCATCATGACCATTGGATCAAGTTGATTCAGTTCATCTGAACGGCTAGCAACTGTTGGTGACTAATTAATACCATGACGTTCGTTGCTTATGCTTAATCTATTTATTAATGTTAGAGGGACAGGTCAACAGAAGGAGCTGGCGAGACAGTAAGTGGATTAAGGAGGAGATGTGAAGATTCTTGGCGTAAGGAATAGTTGTTAATCTTGGTTTGGTTGTGTGCGGCACGAAAGAGAAACGCCAGCTCTCTTTCTCTCTCTATCTCTTCCTCTCTTCTCTTTCTATCTCTATCTTTCTTCTCTTTCTATCTCTAGTGGTATTAGGTGGAGGAGAGAAGCAAGGCATCGGTTGGTAGATGGTGCCTTCACTCTTCTGCAATGGCACACACACTCCTTTGAGTTTATACCAAATCCCAAATTGTATTAAAACTTTAGAAATATAGGAACCACATAGAGAACTTGGAGTTGAGTAGCACTCTCTCTCCTCTCTCTCTCTCTTACTCTCTCTCTCTCTCTACTGGTTATGTTGGTAGATCTAGTGTTTGCTTCTGCTTGTTAGGTGTTTACCCAGCTTCAAAATCTTTATTGAAATAATTATTTTATTGGATTTTTAATTTCTATAAATGATTGATTATTGGAGAGTCAAGAGCTGACTTTTAGTAGTCATAACAGCTGACATCTTCCAATCTGCAATTAAATTAGGCATAAAATTCTAATTAAACTTCAAAACAAAAAGTAAAAAGAAGCGAAGGAGAAAACAATTATAACAACTTTCCACTGATTTTTCAAATAACTCTGTGATTAAAAGAAACAGACACGTGGAGAAGTTCAAATAGAGAAAATTACAATGCGTTTAAGATTTTATTTATATTTTTTCAAAATATTTTTTACATGAAGACACAAATTTTCAATTTTAAAAATACCCTTAAATTGTTTCATCTGTATTTGGGACAGACATTGATGATTTTTAAATTTTTTTTTTTGGTTAGAGTTGCAATTATAAGAAGATAAATTTTAACATAAAAAAAGATTTTAATTAAATGTATCCAATGTTCATAGTCTTATATATCACTTTTAATTTCTCTCTTCAAATCTTCATATTTTAAAATTATTATACAATTATTTTATTTTTAATGCTATTAAATGTTTAATTTAAGCTCATTTAAACTTAAATTAAATCACTTTTATATTATTTGATTCATTTTATCAAGAGACTCAGTTTGATTTTACCATGCTAAAATCGGAGTTCTAAATTTAATTTTAAATTTTTTTAACATAAATAATGCATCAAAACTTAGGTCGATCAATTGATATATATATATATATAAAGAGAGAGAGAGAGAGAGAGAGAGAGAGTTTGCACAATGTAGCTACTCTCATAAACTAAAAAGGAAAATACTCTGCATTTGACTTTGAAGGTGCAATGTCTTTCACCGAGAATTTTATGTAATTCTCTTCTACCAAATACATTAAATTTAAACATCTCCATCTTAAACCTCCATTGACTAATCCCCATTCATCTTCCTCCTCCTTCCACTATTACGCGTGCCATCAAACACCTGAAAAGGAAACGGGCTTCAATCTACAAGCAGCAGCAATGTCCGAGTTATAAGATTTATGCCTCATTTGAGACGGCTTTCTTTCTACTTCTTAAAGCGGTTTTTTAGTACAAAAAAAAAATTCTTGAACTAGAAAGCCGCTTTATGAAGTAGTAAGAAAGCCGTCCCAAACGAAGCCTTAGGCTTCATTTAGAACAGCTTTTTTACTACTTGTTAAAGCAATTTTTTAGTTAAAAAATAATAATTTTTATACTAAAAATCTACTTTAAGTAGCATTAAGATAGCCATATCAAACAAAACCTTAGAAGTCAAATAGTTTAAAAAAAAAAAAAACCTAAGGAGGCAGCAGCTCAACCTGAACCATCCATCATCACAAACAGTTGTTGCAGCTAGCAACATTTTTTTTTTCTTTCTTTTATTATTATTATTTTTTTTATAGGCTTACGTCTGCACTCATTCTTGAAGTTAAAGAATCACATAATAAACAATTAAAATATTATTAAATGAAAATGCAACTGCATTCTGAAGAAATAGGCAAAATGTGAGATATAGCTGACTATGGTATTTTAAAGAACATTTGATAACATAAAACTTAGGCAGGGAAGTTAATATTTATGAAATCTTTAATTATATCACAACTAGAAAGAGACTGAGTGAATACCAACTTACAAGCTTAAGGAAAAGCTGCTTGAGAAAGTGCGCCGTGCAACAAAGTCCAATAAGCTGAGATGACTTGTTAATTTGCATATACATTAAGTCTGAGTTGGGCAGTGACTTCTGGATGAAGTTTGAGTTCTGCTATGTATTCTCCAGTTTCTCTAATCTCTGGAAGAGAGATGATTCTTTTATCAACATCCCTGAACAAGGGATAGAGATCAATATTAAACTCATTTTATATATCAAAAGGAATTTTTCTAACGTAATATGTCAAAAAAAAAAAAAAATTTACATACCTACTTAGCTGGGCCTTGATTATGTCAACCAGATCTTGCGCAGTCACACTAACAGCAACAAGGGTTAGGATAGAAACATTTTTACAATCATACTGCAATATACACTTAATGGTGCCGAATGTTGGCCATTAAAAGAGAAGCATAATACTAAGTTAAGTGTTGCAAAGATGAGGATGCTTAGGTGGATGACTGGATTTTACCCTTAGAGATAGGATACGAAATGAGCATATACATGAGAAGGTTAGGGTAGCTCCAATGGAAGGTAAGATTAGAGACAATCGCCTTAGATGGTTTGGTCACATTAAACGGAGGCATTCCGATGACCCGGTTAGGAAAGTTGAGGTATTAGAGTTGACTTATGTTAAGAAAGGAGGTAGACCTAAAAAGACTTGGTTAGAAAATATTAGAAATGATCTTTCTTTATTAGATTTAAATTAGAATTTGACTTTTAATATGACAAAATGACGAAAAAGAATTCATGTAGTTGATCCCAGGTAATGGGACAAAGGCTTGATGTTGTTGTTGTTGTTGTAGTACTGCAATATGCACTTAACATAGGACAAGTTGGCATCTTACCTTCCAAAAATTTGTTTTCCTTTTCCACCTTTTCGTTTCACTTTAAAAGCACCAACAGTCTGGAAGACTAAAGCAAGTTGTTCGGCTTCTTCTTTCACCTGCATATGAAGCATAAAAATTATATAATAGAATAATAGGGTTTTAACAATCAGAGAATTTTCTCATCCTCAAGCTTCTGGCCATTGAATGAGAATGACAGAGAATTAAGAAGCATAATGGTTGAATAATAAAGATGCACGGCCAAATTTCTCAAAAGCCCAATTTAAGTCAAATCGGTCCATGACTTTGATGGGAAATACTAAAAATGTCTTCTTGATAAGAATGCAATGTCGTGACTTCACCCAACAAGTTAATCACATCAAAAGTTAACCAAACAGTAAGTCGACTGCCCAAGAGTATGGTGACTTAGGCTTCGTTTGGGACGGCTTTCTTCCTGCTTCTTAAAATAACTTTTTAGTACAAAAATTAAAAATTATGCAATAGAAAGCCGCTTAAGGAACCAGTAAAAAAACCGCGTTAATACAGCAGGTCAGCGAACCAACAGATTGACAACTTCATCTAGTAAGTGAACGACTTCATCCAATAAGTCAGCAACTTCATCCATTAAGATGGCCAAAAGAAGTCAACAATTCCTAGTGAATGGTTGGTTGGATCTTACCAGTCAAGGATTCGAACAGTCAAGGATTCGAACCTCTAGGATGAAGCTTTAATAAGTAATTATCCACATGTACTTATATACATCTCTACTACATTTTATATGTCATATGTAATCAAATATATTTATTATTCTTTAAATAGCTTTCCGCCCGTATAGTGCCCAAAAGCTATAAATATAGGGTCATAGGGTCATTTTGGGAGGACCAATAGACAAATATATATATATATATATATATATATATAAGGACATTCACCGGAGATTTTAATGTATTTGCCATCGGAGGAATCGTAGATTGACAGTTACGATTCATAGTCTCTATTTATGATGTTTTAGTGCATTTCTTTTATTTGTTTTTCAGTTTTCCACCTGTACCCCTATGAGAGATTTGTTTCATGTTGTAGCATGGGCATCTGGGCCTTTTACATTTTTTGTGCTTTTGGAGGGCCTATATATTAAGGCCTAATCATTGTATTATTTTCTAATAATGATTATGAATGATAATTCAACTTTCTTGCTTGATCTCTTTGTGAGTTCTTGAGAGGAGAAACCCTAGGTGAGGGTGAGAGCAATACCCATCAACCTTGGTGGATTCCGAGGTGCGCGGTTCTTCGATTTCTTCTTTCTCTTATACCTTCACACCAATCCCACTCAACCACCCGCCGGCCTCCCCTTCCCATGGCCTCATCCCCTCCCTAAACCGAAATTCCCATTCCCACCCCGTTGACCTCCTTTGGCTGCCCCTCCCGCCGGCCACCACCCTTCCGGCCGCCGGCCTCCACAACCCCATCTGCCCCTCTCCACAAGTCCAAACCACTGGCCCCTCCCATTGCTCCCAAAATATGAAATTCAAATTTCAAATACCCATTAATCTCTTTCCTAAAATAGGTTTTAGCTAATTAGGAAAGCTTCTAATTGGAATTTAATTAAACAATCGAATTCAAATTCTTTCCTAAGGCTAGAATTTAAATTATGAAACCTCCCTAATTTAAACAAATCTGAAATTAAATTCAGATTTGTGTCAAATCTTTATTTCCCTCCTTGGGGCCCACATGTTTAATAAAAGTAACCTCTCCTAGCTCTATATGGCCGACCACCTCTTCCTATTCCCCTATCTCTCCTAATTAACTCATAGCCCCCATTAAATCTCCCTAATCTCCTCCTAAACCGCCACCCCTTTCCCTTTGTTGAATAATTTGAAATTCAAATTATTTCTTCCCTTCCCTCTTAAGAAATTTTGAATTAATTTAATATTTTCTGAAAATCCCTTTCCCCCATTCAAACCCTAGCTCTACCCACCTCTATCCTCTCCTCTCCTCTCCTCTTTACCGCCGGCTCCCCTCTCTCTCCACCGCCCTTCTCCACCTCTCCTAACCGGTGGCTCCACCAAAGAACCACACGGATACTCTCAAACCCATGGATGGAAGATCCGTAAGTTGATCACGGATTCGTTTACAATTCTCAAGTGGAAATCGACATCATTCAATCACCTTTCTTCGATCTCGGATTTGGATCCGAAGGCATCGTCGAGGAATACGTGGAGCGCATTCTCTTTACTTTGGTGGACGTCATCGACGAGCAACATACAGGACAGTGGAAGATCACCGGACGACCACCCATCTCTCCAACTCCGGCCAACTCTTCGTTGATCAAAACCGTCAGCATCCTCTATCTTTCAGTGGCATCACTTGGCTTGCTAACATTCGTCCTCCGCTAACCCTACTTCCAAAGAGCGATCGAGAGGGAAACTCTAAGGTGAAAGTTCTAATTGTTAAGTGGCGGATTATCGTTAATCGCATATTTGTTTTACTATTTTCTTGTCATTATTTCGGATCGCTCTGTTAATCTAATGTGTAACCGCATGCTTGAAGCAAGTCAATAACCATGAAAACTGAAAGTATTAACTTAGTGAAACATTAATCCTATAATTTCATTGCTAAAACAAGTTTCTTATTAAATCTTGCAATTCCATTGCTTGTTTCACATCATATATATATCCTAAATTTAGCTTTGTTTATGTGAGCTGCACAAGATTCATTCAAGATTCCTTACCCGTCTCTTCTCTGCCTCAATTCTTTCTTCTTCGATCTTCATCTCCCTGCATGACACATTATGTCATAAGTGCAGTTATAGGAGGAATAGTGACAATTGCAAGCACAGAATGAACTAAAACATCAAAAAGTGTGGTAAACTTTTATTAAGCATAAGGAAGTTGTAAACCAATGTCCAATCATCCAACTCTATCAAATTTGGACTCAGTATGCTCATTGGCTTGTTCAAGTTCCCCTGTTCATGCCGCACAATTAATATTACTAGTCCAGAATAAAATAATTTGCAATTTGTAAGATTCTCAACAATACTTGTATAGAAATGATCAGTCTAAAAGTAATAGCATGTTCACACTCGAAAGGTCATATGTAATTAAATTCATCAAGCAAGCACCTACAATAAAAAGACCCACTTGATGATGATCAAAATTTTAGTCCTTATAAGCAACTATTATGTAGTTTGAAAACATCACTGCTTCATGCATTTTAAACTTAAATGAGGGGTAAGTTTGTTTCAATAGCCATTTAAAAAAATGCAACCTATAGAAATAAATCAATAAATAAAAGAATAAACATCAAGAGTCAACCGAGAAAGTGATATAATTGTATTCCTATTCTATCATTCCAAAAACATACAAAGTCACAACATGCCAGAATTGCCACAAGGGACATGTTAATGTTGATGAAAATCTCAGAAGAAATCATAAATTGCACGCATTGCTTTTGTCTGAAATCAAATTCTTCTTCCCTAATGTTGATAAAAAATTAATTCTTCTTCCCTGGTGTTGGTTGTTGCATACTTCATTGCTTGTACCTACTACAAGTTTAATGCTTCAATATGCACTATGCAGTGATGAAGTTAACTAGCCTGGATTGTTGCCAAACAAGGACATGTTAGCACATAGGTAAAGGGATCAGGTCTATCAAATTCTGCCCTTGAAATAGTCATGAGATGTCACTCAAGCTTATATTAGGTTGCTTTGAGCTTGCTTATAGATTGTAGGAAGTGAGACTAAGGTCAATGGTTGCAACAACGCGTTGAAGTCCTCTGCAAAGCTCATCATCACAGATTCACAATTAATCATGGTTTCATAGTCTCTTCCTCTTGTTGGTATGCAATGACCATGACTATGGCACCAACGATTGTAAACAAGCAAACCTGTCGCCCCTACACCAAGGACCTTCTATACGAGTACCATTAAATGCATCTAAGTGGCTTAAGCAAATCCCTTTGTAGATGAAACTTAAGCCAAATTCAAGCAAGAAGCCTTCATTTTGCAAATCACAAAATGCTGTGCTCCACAAAAATAGCAGTTCTAGTTTAGTTATTATGATACTGGTATTTCAACTTTGCCTTTGAATCTCTAGCAGGAAATCCACAAACATGAGAATTGTTTTGCTACTTGGAATCCTTTAAGATTTCTTCTTAGATTCCACCAACGCTCAAAAGCTTTTAAAGCATCCCTACCAATGCTATTAAAACACCAAGCATAAAATGAATGTTTCTAAGGGCAGGGGCTTGAGGAATGAGAGCTCATTTTCATTAAAGGGGTAAACTACATAGAATTTTATAATATTATAAGCATTTTGATAATTCAGCCTGGCTTAAACAATCATTTGAGTTGCAGAGACACCCTACAAAAAATTTCAAGATTCAAAAGCTAGAAATGACAATCTAATCAATGACATAAAAACAAGCCACACGGACTATCACTCAACCAAAAAACTGGAATTAAAAAAAACATCATAATCGTATATTTAAGAAAGAAAGAAACAACACAAGAAGCGTACTTGACCAACAATGGAGTTACGATCTGGGCTTTACCCAACGGAAACAGAAAGTTGCGGTAAAATCCGGCCTTGACCTCGAGCAGTTCCCCTTTTTTCCCGAGCTCCGTGACATCCTCCTTCAAAATGATCTAACAGCAGAAAGGGGAACAAATCAATCACAACGAATCAAACAACGGGGCGGGAAACGACCTACTGACAGGGGTTTTGCCTTCCGCGTCTTCTTCGCCTTTTTCTGCGCCAGAATAGTTAAGCCGATTCCATTCCCGGTGGGAAAAGCACAATCACCGTGTAGGGTTCCTCCCATTTTGAGCTGCGACGAGCAAGAAAAACTCCAAGAGAGAGGAGATGTTGCTGCCATTACTACAATTTGTTGGTCTAGGCTTTGGATTTCGTCCCGATTTGCTGCAACGCTCAATCCTTATCTATATACGCCTCATTCGGCTCCCCGACTTGCCGGACCCGCCCATGAACCTAGGGTTTTATTTTCATTAAGCGTCTATTCGGCCCACTGGTGTAGTAATTTATATATTATTTATTTATTTTTAATTTATAATTGAGTACTTAAGCATAGGTCATATGCCATGAATGTTAATTCTTAATCCTAAATTCTCTTGAATAGTCCACACATTTATGCTTTAATTTTATTTTATATGATTCATAATAAGAAAAAATTATTTATTATATTTGTATTTTGATATTATATCTACATTGGTAGTGGTCGAATCATAAATTTTATTTGGGGCGGAGGAGGGCTAAATTAAAATAATTTTATTTGTCTTTTTTTTTATCATAATAAAAGGTATAGATGCATATTAAAAGGTATAAATTGAATTTTATTATTAGAAACATTATATAATCAGAACTTATCAATATATGTCTATTATATATAACATAATAAAAAATTAGGTTGGAGCAAGACCAGCTAGTTTCGAACTGTCAAATGTTTCATTACTAAAAAACCTCATAATCACTCCATAATAGACGTCAAAAGTCGAGTGTTGGGCCAATTTGGAATCAAATTCATATATGGTCTACATTTTTTTTTTTTTGCCCATTTTTTACCAACTTAGGTCAATATGTGGAGTTATTTAACCATAAAATTAACAGTGGGTCGAGACTAATCAATTTGATAACACTCATATAGTGTTTTCTCGTTATCATGATGTAAATCCTTCTCACTATATCCTCATTAAGATCCTCCGACACTCTCAATTCAATTTATCATCATCGTGGTGTTTGACCAACTTGTCATCTTTTGTCAGCCTTTGTGGGCTTATAGGCATCCCTCATGACGTTATAAGAGATGAATTTAATGCCTTATTTAAGAGGAATTCTTCTTTAGTGAAAGAAATCTACTTACTAGTCAATATATTTTTTTAAAAATATTCACCTCTCATTATAGCAATTCTCTAACATCCTATTCCAATGAGGTTCAAGTTGCATATAATTAACTATTATGATAGGTGCATATAGTTCACTAGAGGACCGTTATATGCATTTGATAAGCTTCTAATGCAATCTTCTGATAAGTCTTTCCCGTAACTTTTCAGTGTAACATTGAACATAATTTACTCTCTATAGTAGAACACTTCAGACTATTGTAATTCCAGCCGAAAAAAACAAGTGGAGATGAGACTCAATGTTGTTGTTTTCATCATTCAAAAGAATATTTAATAAAAAATATTATTAATTGAAGGGAAAAATAAATATATGATTCATCAAATGAATTTTTATCTAGAGGAATAACATGTAGATCATTAACTTCAAAATAGAAAAGATCAAAAGAGTCGTGCCAAGAAAATTGTCCTAATTATTGAATAGGAGTGCAATCATAATCTATTTGCCCTCTCACATAAGAAAATTTTCTCACCAAAGTTCCGGCCTGGGATGTAATTAACCACGGGGGCTTGCGCCAGTGGGAAACTTGGTTCCCACAATCAACTAAACCCCATTCGAACTTTTTCGGGTGGGGGAAACCCGTGACTAGATCGTGTATATTACTATCCATCGAGGTGTGTTGGCGTCAGCCTCTATCTTCAATGGTTAGTCATATGCACGATCCAATATGCCCTTCCATCGACCCATTCGTGTCGAGTGTAGAGGTCTACGATCGTTTTGTCCTACTGGATAGTGCGGCCGTACCCTCTACGTTCGTACCCCACGAGCGGTGCTCTTTTCGGAGGTCCACATTTATCTTTAAAGAAAATTAATATTTAAATTATCAATAAAATTTTGCTATAAATAATATTGTATCTTACAAAAAGACTTAGAAGGCACAAAATTAAGATAGCCTCAATGAAAAGCTAATAGTTAGTGTGATCCATACTAAAAAGATCTCATGAGTGTAAATGGAGATAGGATATCCACCCAATGAAATATTTATGACTCCATTTTGACACTCATCTATGATTAAAATTAAAAGATTTAGAGCAAAATTGTTTAATAATTTTTTCTCAAATTGATGGCACTAGCTTTAATGAAGGCTAAATTTATAGTTTAGAGACACAAAGTTCTCTCTAATCTGTTAGTTGGAAGTTTTGGCTATCAGCTAAGAGGTCTTAGATTTGAGTCTTACGTATGTGATATGTTTGTGAGTTTTCCTTCATTGACCTGAATGTCAGAAAAAAATAGTTTAGGGACATAAAACTCTCGCTCAAACAATTTAGGGGGTGTTGCGTCTTAGAATATTTGCGACAGTAGATAAATTTAAAATTTAATGTTTGAACTTTATATGAAAATCCAGCACACAATTAGATAAAAGAGATTGTGTAGCGTTCATAAGAGACATCAAAGTTTTTTCTATGGAATCCCCTAAAAAGGGAAAAAAACCATGTAGCCTAAGGCCTTGGCCTGGTTTGAATGAATCTACTAGTGTTTGCAATCGATTATCAAAAAGGTCATTCATTGGGGGAAGACCTTGGTTTGATGTAGCAAATATATATCATATATAGTACATTACATGGTGGGAATTAAAAAAATTACAATTGACTGGTTTGTTTGGTCGGTAGGATCATAGTCGAAGAGCGATTGATGTCAGAAAGATTGTAGTCGGATGATGGTGGTCTAAAGGATCGTAGTCGGCAGGTGATGGAGGTCGAAAAGAACGTTATCAGGTGACTGTGATCGAAAGGACCGTAGTTGGCAAATGATAGAGGTCGGAAAGACCGTGTTTGACGACGGATGTCAAAAGGATCGTAATCTAGTGACGGAGATCGGAAGGACTAGTTGGTGGGAAAAAATGGTAAAAAAGATTGTTGTCTAGCGACGGAGGTCGGAAGTACCGTAGTATGGCGACAGAGGTTGAAAGGACTATAGTCGGCGAGCGATAGTGCTCAGAAAGACAGTTGTCTAGCGACGGAGGTCGAAAGGACTGTAGTCTAGCGATAGTGGTCATACAAATCGTTGTCTAGTGATAGGGGTCGGAAGGACCGTAATCTGACGATGGAGGTTAGAAGTAACTTAGTTGGTGGCCAATAGTGGTTAGAAAGACCGTTATTCGACGTCAGTTGTCGGGGGATAGTATGTCGATAATTGGTGTTCAGGAGTAAGTCCAACAATAGTTGGTGGCCGGGTGTAAGTGTGGTGTCAGTCAGTGGTCGGGAAGAAATTCGATGTTAGTTGGTGGCCGGGAAGAAATCTGGTGTCATTCAATGGCCGGGAGGAAATCCGGTGTAAGTCGGTTCTCGGGCAAAAATCAGGTGTCAGCTTGTGGTCGGGTAGAAGTCCAGCATTAGTCCATTGATGGTCGGCTGTCCGACGATGGTCAAAGAGTCTTGTGGCAAGAGAACTCTAGTTTCTCTCTTTTCCTTGCTTCTGTCCTCCTTCCATGAGGAATGATAGGTCTATTGATAGTTTTCTGAGAGTGGAATGATCAGTAAATAAGAGGAAGATTAAGGGTAAGTTGTGAGTGGTTTGAATGGATGACAATATTGATTCCCTTGATCATACACTATTGAATATTTAAGTGCCTTAATGATGTCAAAATTTGGAAACCTTGGGCTCGTTGGATTCTCCTTGTCGAGCCGCTCGATTCGACTATAAGCATGTAACGTTTGGAAATTGTTTAGTCATCCAATTTATTGTTTGATCCTTCCAAATGCGATTCAGGTCCTCGATTTGGACCCATTTGGGCTCGGATTGAGTCAAATTTTGTATCGTTGGGTTCGTCTTTTCGAAACATTCAGGTCAATTATAAGTTTGCTTAAATCGGAGTTCATATAATCCTGAATTTAATTTCGAAAATTTTCCCCTTGATTTTGCCTCGAGATTTTTGCCCGATTAAGATAATTTTTTAATGATATATGAGAGAGAAATAGTGTTGAACATCCACATATGCGACAGAAATGCATACTGAACTTTATTCAAGTAGCAAACAGCCAAACATAATAAAAATGCCATATCCAGCAAAAGCCAATATTTACCAAAATAACACTCTTCCCTTTACGGAAAAAAATGCCAAAACTCAGCAATCGCAGATCTACAGCCGTAACGATTTACCAAAGAAAAACTCATACAGAATCCCCGCAAGCCCACCTCCGACGAACTGGGCAGCCCAGCACAGCCATATCCCATCCCAAACCCAGCCCACCACCGCCGGCCCAAACGAAGCCGCCGGGTTCATCACCGCCCCGTCAAACGACCCGCCCACCAGCACATTAGCCCCGACCGCAAACCCAATAGCCAACGGCGCCAAAGCCGCTTTTCCTCCCCCCAATTCGCCCTCCGCCGCCACCGCGCACACCGTTATGACAAGTCCAAACGTCTTAAATCCCTCAATCACCACTGCATTCGACATCGCCGCCACCGCTTCCGCCGGCGGCGGATCTGCTCCGGTCGCCACTTCCAGGAGTAAGGTCGCGGAAATCGAGGCCATGAGCTGGGCAGCGATGTAGAGGATCGCGCGGACGAGGGTTATGTGGCCGCCGAGGAACAGGGCGAAGGTAATCGCTGGGTTTACGTGGCCGCCGGAAGTCTTCGCTGATGCAGCCACCGCCGCAGAGAGGGCGAAGGAGTTGGATAAGGCAGATATAAGAAGCCCGGTCGGCGTCTGACCACCACCACCAGCGAGCTTTCCTGCGCTATTTAAGGTTCAGAATTATTAGGGCAAAATTAAAGAGAGTGAGTGAGCGGAAAGAAGGGGATGGATGATTACGGAAGGAGACCGAGGAGCCTTGGGAAGCAAAGACGAAGAGGAGAGTTGAGAAGAACTCGGCAATGGCGGATTTGAGGACTGCGGGTCGAGTGAATTCCTCGCTAGTTCCCATATCTAAGCGGGAGATTGGCATATCTTCTTCTTCTTCCTTCCTTCCTTCCTTCCTGCAACAAAGGGAAGAAGCGAGTCGAGATTTTGTCTCTGTACTGTGCCGATATGGTTTGCTGGAGACAGGCTTGCGATAATTACGGATCAAGCAATGGAAATGGCGATTTATGGTGGATGGACAATTGGGACGATACGGTAACGATAATGTAGGGCAGCTTTTTTTTTTTTTTTTGGAATAAAGATTTAATGAGCTATTTAATTTATTTAGTACAGAAAGAAATTCTTTGGGGTAGCCATTAATGAGGAATGAGACTGGTTGATGATGAGGGTGGAATTTAAATATTGTTTGATCTGAATTAAATTTGTTGTATAATATTTTATTTTTTATTTTGTTCATTTGATAGCTCAAGAATACTCATTAGATTTGTTCATGAAAATGCTTGTTTGATAGTTAAAAAAAAATTATCTAAATATGTTCGTTCACAAACATAGCTCGTTAAAGCTCGTTAAACACTAAATGAACCGAACATAAACCAACCTTTTTTTGGGACAGTTAGGGGATTTGAACATGAGACACGTGGGAGAAAATGCTTCGATCAACCAACGAGTTGCACACACGATGTCCCCATCACCAACCTTGTAAGCCACTCTCCCAACCTCCCATCATTGCTCAAGCCCCCATTATCATCACTTAATCGCTGTCTCGCAGCACCCTTAACCGCTTAAGCCACTATCGTCACCCTAATCTTGATCTCCAACATCCTCATCTTAGCAAAAAATTATTCTATGCAGAGTCCGGATGTAGCTTTATATCTGTACACCAATAAAATCACGACCAAACCCGTCTTCATTTTCAATCTAAGTGTCGCAATTTTATTAAAGTTCGGACACATCTACGTTCGGACACCCTTAGCAATCCTGTTCTACAATTTTTCTTTAAGTTTATTTACATCAAGAAACTCCATTTTTGTGCTGAGGTATGAAAAATTGATTTTAATAAACTTTCTAAGAACGATATTTAAATATTTATTTGGTAGGATGCATATTCTTAAAAAAATAATTTCATATAGGGTTATGTATAGGGGTGTCAATTTCAGGTCACGCGTCGGGTCAACTCGAACCCGACCCGCTTCGGGTTCAAGTCAACCCAAACCCGAAAATTTCGGATTGGTTTCGAGTCGAATTTTCAGGTCGGGTCCAATATTGACACCCCTAGTTCTGTTGAGATATTCTTATCTTTATTGATTACTTAAAGTCAACATAGCGTTAGTTATTGAATGTTATTAACGAGGCGACAGACTGATTACTTCCACAATATGAACTGACATCTCTAACACGAATGCATATATTATAGAACATGTGCTGAAGAAGACAAATGGCTTTCAGATTAAAAAAGCCTAAATGAATCTCAGCTTTTCTTATTAAGTAATTAGTTAAATAATCTTCTAAATAAGATTAATATAAAACTTATTATATTCTCAAACACAAACAAAGTCAGACAACAATTATCATGTGATTTTATGAATAATTTACTATGTAAACCAATAACACTAAAGCTTCGTTAGAGACAGCTTTTTTTGTCTGCTTTCTACAACAATATTTTAGTTAAAAATTGTATTAAAAGCATTAAAAAAATAATAATCAAAAGTTGTTCCAAACGAAACCTAAATAATCATAGCAAAGCATAAGGCAATAATATTAAATAAAATCACTTTTGTAAGATTCGCTGCAGAAAGTTATGGGAAAGCAGAACAGTCACAACTACCCACCATTGCTTAATTTGGTTGGTGGGCGAGTGCAGTTGAGTACCCCCAACCCGCATTCGATTCCCCTCGAACGACAACACCTTTTCAGTAGAGCACAATTAAGTGCGGGCCAGGAGGTTTTATGGTGGGTGCCTCTTCCAGGTCAACCGAGAATTAGTCAAACCGCCAAACGCCTCACAAACTGAGGTGGCAACAGGTGGATAAAAGCCTTAGTTCTTTTGAGACATTAATTGCGCTAGCAGCAAAATAAAACCAAAAAACTATAAAAACACCATTGCAATAATAATGTTAAGTTACCATCATCATTGTAATCAACAACAATTACAAGCCTTTATCCCATTACGTGGAATTAGTTATATGAATTCTTTTCCTTCATTGTGTCCTAATCATGGAACACAAATCTTAGAAACTTCTAAGTAAAGTCTAATTCCAAATATATCAGCAAAACAATGAGGCGAAGAAGCCAACTTACAGGTTGCTATCACAAACACCCAATTTGTAGCTCAAAAGAAGCACAAATGAACCGAGTAAGAGAATCTGAAAGCCAGCCCAGCAAACCGAAGAAATAAATCCACTATGAACCTTCATTCTTCTTTCATTGCTAAGTGATTTGCTAATGCCGTAGGAAAGAAGGATACCCATCTCTGAATGCTTCTGCAATTTCCAGCTCTCTGTGCCCACTGAGGATATCAAGCTTTGTATTTGGATCATCCCTGCAGTGACGTGAACTGTATCTGTTGCATTGGCTGATGCTGCAGAAGTTTTTCCCACTATTTTGCTAATTGCAGCAGCTTCAACAGCAAGCGCAGGGGGAGCTGAAATGGCATTCAACAGAGTTGCAAGTCGTTTTGTTAATGTTTTGTCCTGACAATCTTTAAGCTCTCCATCTGTCAGACAAATTTTAAGAACTTCAGATTTCAGCAGGATATCACCACTTGTTTGAGATAATTGATTTAACAAAATTTTTGAACTTGAAATGCAAAAACTAGAAATGTTCATCAATAGTCCAACATTTCTTAATGAGACTATCGTGTTTTTTAACAGTAAAAAGTACTCTTTATAATCAAAGTAAATTATTCAATGAACGGAACAAAGAAATATTTTATACAACTATCCAAAATAAGAGACAAAGAGTTAACTAAAAAGAAGATGCCCAATAATAAAGATTCAAGTTCAACTATGATTCCCATGGAGGCAGGGGCGGAACCGGCTTTAATTTTGAGGGGGGGCAAAAATACAGCACAAAAAATAATTAAATATTAAAAAAATAATATTATATATCTATATATTACGAAAAGTTTTTTTAAAAAATTAAGTAAGAAAAATAAAGAAAAAATGTATAATTAAACTGTTATTAAAAGCATGAAAGAAAATATTAGAATTAAATGTGAAGAAATATATAGATATTTTAGGACAAGTTAGGACAAAAGAGGAAAAAAAAATTTTTAGGGGGGGCAAAAAAAAATTTAAGGAGGGGCAAAAAAATTTTTTACTCTCTTATAATTTTTTTTAAAAAAATTTTTACTCCTATAAAAAAAATTTTTTTTTTGAGGGGGGGCAATTGCCCCCCCTAAGTACACTACAGTTCCGCCCTTGCATGGAGGTTTTCGGAGCTCATGAGCTGTTCTGAGTAATTTGGCTAATAAAACTTTTCAAATAAATTTGGATAATCTTAGTGAATGCCAAAAAATGGAGAAGATACATTTTGATATCATCTTGTTGTAGCAGGATTTACGTGCAAAGGAGAAGCACAAGATTATGGCAGTTATAGGAGAATCAAACTTAAGTCATGGAATAGAGTAATGGATCACAGGCTTAAGAAATCATGTTGGTAAAATAAATATTGATCATAAAGGTGATTTTGATACCAAAGCAATACATGGAAAGCAAAGAGAGGTGTATATGATTTTTATTGATCTTAATAAGACATGCAATTGAATACCACCTCAACAACGGATAATTGATATGGACTTTGGATAGGAAGATCAAATATGGAGATGATTTTTGTGCTAAAGTGATAAATGAAAAAATAAAAAGAGAAAATAAATGTTTTGTATATAGTTTTTATTGATGTTAAGAAGGCACGTGATCTAATACCACAAAAAAATGTTTAGAAATACATTAAATAGAGAAAAAGGTGTCTCGTAGATTTATTCAAAATATGAAAAATATGCATGACAAAGCATGGTTATCACTTGAAATTAGTTGCAGAGAGACTAAAAAATTCTCAGACATAAGATGGTTCTACCAATGAGAATCATTAAATTTGTATATTATTGCATTAATCATAAAGATGCTTCAAAAGAATATTCCAATTATGAAATCATGTTGCATGGCAGTTGGAGATAACATGTCTAATTGAAGAGATCTCTCTTGATAGTAGGCTTCTAAATAAGCCATAAATAAAAGAACAAGTTCTATTCAAATTTGGCTCGTTGATTCTTTTAATGCTCACGTTCAGTTGGTGTTCATCAATTTTTTTCAATGCCCACGCTCAGTTGAGCCACAAATTAAATTTCCTGAACTTGTTCACAAATATAAACAAACGCAAAAACATATATCAATCCAAGAGAGATTTTCATTATTCTTAATAAAAAAGAATGATAAGTAATTAAACTCAATACCTCAGCATACAAAGAGAAAACCTACTAAGCATAATATTTATACATTATAACATAGCTTATTTTTTGCAATATATACTCACAGAAATTATAAATATTTAATATTTAAAACAGATATCTGAACTCAAAAAAATGAAGAATTGTTTGTGTTGCATTTGTTAAGAAATTGAGCTTAAATATGGTGCTCATGTTAGATTCATTAGTTAACGAACAAAAAAGAAGCATGAGTTACTTAACAAGCCGATCATTACTTGCTCGCAAACATTTATGTGGGCACCCTAAGTGACACAAATGTATAGTTAGAATAATGAAAAAAACATTTAGAAAATAAGGAACTTAGGGTTAGCAGAATAAAATTTGAGTAGTATATACTTTAAGATCATGTAGTGAAAAATAAAATTGAATAATTAAATCATTTATAAAAATGTAAAATATGCTCCAATAAGACTAGTATATAACTTTAAAACTTAAGAAATTAAAATGAATAAAACAACCACTAAATTAGCATGAATAGAGCTTTCTAAATAAGATTTAAGCAAAATAATATAACAAATCCAAATAGGATGATAAGGCTGAGGATGATTATGATGATATCAATTGTATTATTATTATTTTTTTAATGATGATATCAATTGTATAGTTTTAGCACCTCACTTCAATAAGGTGAGCGGTAAGAGTGGCCCCAAGTATCTTAGGCATTGGGAAGCCATATCTCTATAAAAACAATTAATGCATTTTTACAACATAAAAAAATGTAGAGTGTACGAGAAGGAAGTATATTTGTTTCATGGAAGGCCATAATCAAACCACTAGCAAAATGTAGTAGAATATTGAAAATTGATAAGAACATAGACAATAGAAAAAAATTTGAATCAATAGCCCATACCTGCTATGTGATTCCCATTCCACCCACTTAAAGGATCATCATTGATGGGTGCCCTTTGAAGTGATTCATAAGCTTCTAAATTTTGTCGAACAGGAACGTCCTTGCCAGATGAGCAGCTTGCAACAACCTGTAGCACATCCAATTCAGATTTATAAACTTGGAAAATATGTAAATCACATCAAGATCATTAGAAATTAATACACCTTAGAGGAGGCACTTGACTCAAGCCGTGGTTCAAAGGAATCTGGAATGGGATAGTTTAAGTTATCTTCTGTGGCATCATAGTAGGCCATTAATTCATCCAGAAAATCAAATTCAACCTTAGGCGCCAATGAAGTTTCATTTGTGAGGCCATCTTCTAAGCATGGAACTTCATGGAAAACAGCGTCATAATATACCAAGTTACCATCAGCCAATGGGCCAGAAGGATATTGTGATGGCATGTCATCAAGATTATCAGCATCTTGAGGTAGAATTTCAGAATGACCCACTTCATCCACAGAAGATTTATTATTGCATCTCTCCATGCAGCAATCAGTTGACTCTATATTGAGAATGGCACTTGCGTTTTCCTCACCAAAAATATCCTTCAACTGCACATATGCATTATTCTGGATAGAAGAGGAATTTGACTGATATTCAAGAGCCTTCTGTTTTCCAAGCCTATTCAATGATATTTTGCGTTCTTCCATAGTAGGGAAATCTGCATCTGGAGGCAAATCACCATCATAACCCTGCTCTTTCAAACATTCAATAAGAAAATTAGATGGATCCTCCATGTCACAACCATGGTCTTCGTCATCAGACCTTGCAATGTGAGGGACAACATCCACATGTTGAGTGCTTGATTCCTCATCCTGAGATAAATTATGTATACAAATTATAAAAGTTGAAATTGCAGGATGCACTCAAAACTTTGAGTTGGAGTGATTTAACCGAACAATGTAGTACAACTGCAACAATAAGCCTTTATCCCATCATCTAGGGTTGAATGCATGAATCATTTTTCTCCATTGTGTCCAATTAAGAATCAAAATCTTATTTAAATCTAATAAAAAAATCATTTCTAATATTTTCTAACCAAGTTTTTTTTAGTGTATCTCTACCATTCTTAACATAAGCCAAATTCAATACATCTACTCTTCTAATAGGGTCACCGGAAGGCAAGCGTTTTATGTGACCAAAACATCTAAGGTGACTCTCTCTAATCTTACCTACCACTTGAGCTACTCCAACCTTTTCACATATATATTGATTTGCATTTTGTCTCTAAGTGTAAAGCCACTCATCCACTTGAGCATCCTGATCTCTGCAACACTTAACCTAATTTTATGCTTCTCTTTTAATGGCCAATGTTTTGCACCACAAAGCATTGCAGGTCCATCACCACCATTTTATTAAATTTCCACTTTAGTTTGAGGGGTACTTTTCTATCACACAACATGCCTAAAGCATTCCTCCATTTCAACAATCCAACTTGAATTCTACTAGTTATATCTCCATCTATTTCACCATTGCTTTGAACAATAGTCCCAAGATATCTAAAAACAAGCACTCTCTTTAATGACTTAATCACACACTGTTGTTGTCGGGTCCCAAGCTCTATATGAGAAAAGTGGATGATTGCGTTAGGTAGTCAATAACTAGTGTAAACTTGTCGAACAATCATGAAATGAATCATTTAACAAAACAATGTATGTGATTGAATATACCGAAGAAAGGACCTTACATGTAAAGAAGGGGAACTTTATCTAAAGTCACATGGTTGACTATAATTTTTATGGCTCAACTATTTTTTTATAGTCCAAATTATGAATTTGACTACTATTATTTGAATGTGATTACAGAAATAATTGAGATGATACTACTGCTACTGTTTTAAATCTGGTTACTTAAGTAATGGATTTTATTATTCAAACTCTTAATGTGGATGTTGGTTGATCTCAACAAAGTATCTACATTAAAAAATATATATATATATTAGAATGTAATACAGAACACAACAAAACTGCATTAAAATAGCTTTTTGGAACAAAAGATTTTCAAAATCTACACAAACAAGGAAGCCCCATAAGTTTCATCTAGAAAATGCAAAGCTTGGAAGCATGATGCAGAAATTAGTGACACATGTCAAAAGTTTCGTATTACCAGGAGAAAATCGCCCAACTGAACAAAATCACGTACACAAGGATCCATAAGCGCATCATCTCTAGCCTCATTTACTAGGACAACGTTAGCATCCTCTTCTTCCTCCAGCTCCCATTCTTCTTCTATAAACGGTGCGCCATACTGGGCTCCATTCTGTGGTCCAGCACCAGTTTTCTGAAAAATCCTGCACACCACGTAGCCATCCTTCCACAGAAAAAAAAAGCACAAATTCAATAAACGCAAAAATAAGATGTTTCACTTCTTCACTAACTAAACAAAAAATTTTAAAAATGGAATCTGCAGAGGAAATAATTTAAGGTTCATTCTATATACCTGGAAAGAGAGAGCGCTTATGAGAGAGAAAAATTCAACAAAAACTATAAATTCAACGTCAACAAAAAGCTTATTTTATATACCTGCTGAATCCCAGAGCTAGAAAGATTCTCGTCCTCTAAACGATATTCGTGCATGACCCAATTGGTTCGCTGACCGCGCGGTGCCCGACCGGCATGATAAACTAGGGTTTTCTTCATGCCGATGGTACGAGATCGACTCTGAATGGGCCTATCCTTGCCGGTTGTCTTCCAATAACCCTCTACAGTGGCGCGATTGGTGCGACAGCGATTAGAATACTTCCTACCCAAGGAGGTAAAGAAGTACCACTCCAAGTCGCGACTCCGGAGGCGCGAGAGTGGCGGGAGTTCCCACGGCTCGGCTCCATATACATCGACCTCAGAGATTGCATCGACGCGGATTGGCCGGCCGGTAACCTTCCGCTTGAGGTAATAGCTCACAAGCTCCTCATCCGTTGGGTGAAATCGGAATCCAGGGGCTAGTTGCGTCGGATCAGGAGAAGAAGGCGGCGGCAGCGGAAGCGGCATCGCCGCCGCGGTTCTGGAGGAGGAGGCTTCGCCGATCATCGAGAAAATGTGGGGTAAAATCAAGTGTGGCCAGGCTAGCACCACACGACTCTTTAAGCTCCTGGGGTCAATTAGGCGAAAGAAAAATCTAGAATAAATTTTAAAAAGTAAATATAAATATTATAAAATATAATATTATATTTATTTAATTATACAAATTAATAAGTTTATTAGTAAATATAATTGAAATAATAATCATCTCAATAAAAACTTGGGAGTAATTCACATAAAATATATTTGATTTTTTTTAATAGTTTGATACCAATATATTTATTTTTAGTAGAATTAAAAGTGAGATTATAATAATTAAATTATATTTGAAAGGTCAAATTATAAAAAGAAGCATGGTCGATACATAAATATGCAGATGAATTATAATCGTGTTTAGGGAGGAGAACTGAAGAATAATATACAAAATATGAATTAAAAGCATGTTTTGCAACATAAAACTACTAAATTTAATCCTACATCACAAATGAATAGAAAGAAAAATAAACACATGCCATCTGAAACATGATTATTTATGAACCTAACACCCAATCTTAGAAAAGTGAACCATCAAATCTATGTATTTGAGCATGCCACAATCAACTCATTGATAATTTAATTAAAGGAAATAAATATATGAGCTGGATATTGAGGTTTTGTTTTGTTGATTGGGATTTGGATATTCATATTGCAAATTGAGGTGGTTGGTTTCATAAATAGCAAGTTTTGTGTATCATACAAGAAATTGCCCAGAGAATAAAAGATGGAGTCTGCGTTAAAATCAAAACTGAATTAAACAATTTATTTCAACTCAAGGAAAATAACATACTTAGTTGAGCTACTCATCCCTTGTGATGGGGTTGGAGTTGCTTGTTGATGACTTGTTTCAAGACATGAATTGCATAATAAAGCAAAATTTCCAGTTCGTGCAATATCAAAAAAACTCTGAAAATAATTAAACATCTGTAAACAATAGAAAAAATCCTGCAAAGTGGGGCAAAAATAAAAGCCGTACTAGCAAGCACACACACCTTTGCACTTTTGACAGAGAGAAAGTTTCATAGAAGGCAAGGGACCAACGGCATTCTGAATTGCAGCTTCCAACATGTTGAGCGAAGCGCCAGTGCATGACTTCAACACTTCACGAAGGTTCTTGACATTTTTCAAGAAAATGAAATCTGAAGGATTCATTTTGGTTCTACTAGCATGAATCTCGAATTTATAAGCTGAAACAACCTAAAATGCCAACAACAATGTTTAGAAACAACTTGGCCTCATCAGTGCATAACAAGAAAATCAACAAATGCAGAGGTTGAATTAACAAAGGACTAACTCTTTTTCCTTGGCATGAGGCGCAGGAGCATAATACTCCATTTCCCGTGATTATACCCTAAAGCCCGACATTCTGCACAATAACTCAACATTGAACAATCCCAGTCAAGCTATAGTGATGCCAAAGACCTTAAGGTGGAAACTACTATTTGTGAATGGCAAAACAAATTGTTTCAGATCCAACATAAGATTACATCATACCTCCCGGGCATGAAATGTACTTCACAGGCAATCCCTCGAGCAACCCAGTACCTAGGAGGTCTCTGACATTAGATGGGAACTTTGTCAATGTTATCTTCTTTGACATCTTCAATTCCATCTTCTTTTTGACGTTGCTCTTAGACTCTCATTAAGTGCGTCGTTATCCCCTTTTGAATCCTCTGATTCAACAAAAATAACACTATTGAGTGTATAACCATTTGCTACTGCAGATTCTTCAACTGCAGTACTAAAGACCTTGTGAACCTCCTTGTAGATGTTACTATAGGTTTCTCTAATGGAGCACCATCATGCGTCCCATTGTCCACATCGAATTTTGAAAGTATAGCTACTGATACATAACCTTCATGTTCACCTTTTATTGACTCCTCTAGCTGGCCAGTTTCAAAATCTAGTCCACCGCAGTTGTAAACAACTATTGGGATTTCCATCACGTCTACTTGTTGAACTATAAGAGGAACTTCAACTATGGGTATTACTTTGCATTGGGCGCCTTGCTCAATTGAAGAAGAAGTTGCAGCAACAGGAAGCACTGACTTCAAGGTTGACCTTGTGAACCTCCTTAGTGGTTTTACTTCCCCTGGGATCTCTACCTACTCAATTTTAGGTGGAGTTGCAGCAACAGGCATAAGCTTCAAGACTGATCGAGTGAACCTCCTTATTGGCTTCTCTGCTAATCTGTTGCTAATCTTGGTGTCATGGCTGCCATCTAACACAATTGATTGCTTGGCTACTGATCCATTCATCAACGGACACTTGCTCACTTCTGAGGAAACTACTGCAGACTCTAAAGAAAAAGGTGGTGATGGAGTTGTTGTTCTATCTTGTTGAGTTTTGCAGTTTAACTTATGATACCGACTTTCCATAATTTGTATTTGACTTCTCCACTGGCAAATTATCCTTCTCCCCTCCCCCAACACCTTCACTAATGACTGGAACATTTGAACTGATGTTATCCTTCTCCAATTCTTCTTTACTGTAAGCCGAAATTGAAACACCAACGCCACCCTTGGGATGTCCATTATTTCGTGTATTAGTAATTGGGATATCAACAGTGACGGAACTTGGATAGACACCTCCGCCTGGAGAGAAATTGACCGACATCCTGCACAATTGACTCCTCCCGATGGAGAGCAATTGATCGACATCCATAGGCACCTCCGCCTGGAGAGTTATTATGTCCGATCACCGGAAGTCCAAACACTCAATTCAGATGAGTCACGTCACTCGAATATACTGGATTCCAGTATATTTTGGTGACGTGACACGTCTGAATTGATGTCAGGACGAATTCGAACACCGGAAATAATTTGCTCCAATGATGAGATTGTTGAAGGAGAAACCTATAACAAATTTTATAAAGTAAATATAAATATTATATAATATAAAATTATATTTATTTAGTTATATAAATTAATATTATAATAAATAAATAAATAAATAATCATGTTTAATAATATTATAATATCATTTTTTCTGATATAGTGATATTGTAATATATATTCAATTTGGATTTATATGCAGTTAATTTCAAATTCCAATTTATCAAAATTAGGAGCTTTAGAAATTTAAAGGCTCATAAAGCTTATCTCTTCTTGGAGAAATATATTGGTTGGGAGTTTTATCTAAGAGTTATTAGAGTGAAGCTTTATAGATTTTATTAATGTGAGATATCAATTTTCAAATAATTCATATTTATTTTTTATCTATTATGTGTTTTAACATATTTGTAAGGAAATGTTGAGCCATTCTTTCAAAAACAATTTATTTATTGCAATCACAGTATTCATTCTACTAAAAAATAAATTTATTGGTACTAAATAATGAAAAAAGTCAAATATTTTTGGTCAAATATAAGTTTATATGAATAGCTTCAAGTTTTTATTAAGGTGATCATTATTACAATTATATTTACTAATAAACGATTTTGAAAATTAGTGTAAATAATATAGATGATAAAAAGATGTTTTATGCAAATATTTATGTAATTATATATATTTTTACTTGAGATGGCTATAATTTTATTTATTTGGTTATTAAAATCTCTGCAATTAAAAAAAAATAAAAAAATGGTACAATTCAATGATATATAATTATGAAATGATTGCTTCAAATTAACAGATTAATAGGTTGTTTGTGACGGCTTTTTTATTGGTTCTTAAAGCTTTTTTTTCATATAAAAAAATTTAAAATTTTTAGTAAAAAATCGCTTTAAGAAGCAGTAAGAAAGCCATCACAAATGAAGCCTAAGTCTCTTATTTGATTAACGTGCTGCTTGGTATGTAGAATTAGGAGGGTAAAATAATTAACTTACGTACATTTGCCAAACGTAAGTAATTCTTCTGAAGCATTGGCGGTATATTGCCATGGGCCGTTCATGCGACTTCAAACCCCGCTCAAATTGAGCGAGTTACAAAACCTCGCTAGTTCACGTGGGGCAAAGCTTCCAACAAGAGACTTGCCATTTGCTTTTGCTTTTGCTTTTGCTTTTGCTGGCTTCTCTTTCGTTCTTGTCACAGCCGCAACGACAGCCTCATAAGAACACTAGCCTTATCAGTAACCCTAAAGCTTTCGGGATCTCGAACCAACTGCCGACGATTCCAACTGCGATTGCGCGTATGCCTTTACTAATTATTTGATTAGCGTATTGGATATCGTATCTATTCTCGCATCTCTGCAATTTTTGTTCTTGTTTAATCCAAGAGAAATTTATCTTTCCCGTGGATTTTGCATGTCCTGCATCTGTTCATGTGGGCCGATGTTTATATTTTGGTGTTTTTTGTTCTTTGACATTCTGTGCGTAGCTGTCATTCCGGCTTTCAACCATGCTTAGTCGAGATTACATAAGGAAATTACTCATTTTTTATCTTCCTGTAATTGTATTGCATTCAAATTTTTCCGTTCTTCTTATTTTTTACGCCTTTGCGGATGTCGACTGGTGTAGTTGATGAAGTTCTTGGAAGTTTTTTAAAGTTTTTGAGATGGAATTCCGTCTACATAAACATTTCTGCTTTGGCAATCCACATTCCTCAAAAATTTTGGTCCCGATATCCTGACTCAATATTTTCCCCTTTCATAGTTTTTTAGCAGTGGTTATAGAAGGACATAATCCCTTCATGTTATAGAAGGAACATAATCCCTAAACCAAACAACCCCTAAATGAATCTAAAATCATAATATTTTTAAATAATATTTTGAATTATGTAAATATGAGGGAGAGGGGAGGAAGTAGAATAGCTTCTGAGGTTGAGTGAGGGAGACGTGAGAATAAATAGTCGCATATATGATAATAATAGAAATTATTTAATTTGTAATAATTAAATAATATATAGTTGCATCATTAGTGGAAATAAATTAAAAAGAATTAAATGAAATAAAAAATTTTCATTATTATATAGTTGCGTAATTAATGGAAAGGCTGTAAAATTATTTCATGAATACTGTGTGAAAAAATTTATTGCACGCCACATATATTTGATGTTTTTTCTTATTTTGAGATTGAATACTGCATTGAGAATCAAATACAGTCTCGGGGTACTGGCACAATGTTCTACAATGAATTCAATATAAAAAATAGTGTTTAAAAAAATAATATTTTTATAATCAAACACAATTCATTACAAATCTTTCAAATACATTTATATTACATCTCATCATAAAAAAATAATGTAGATCACCTGCAAGATTATTCTAGACAGTTATTATAAAATCATCTCAAATAATTATATATTTGCATTTAATTTAAATTCACTACCCACCCTTGGTTATGCTCTTTTAATTTTAAAGGGGACTTAACATTTTACACCTGCAGAAAATTATGTTAGTTTAAATCTTTAATTTGCCCCCTTTGATTTAGCTCCGTAGGAGCATGACCACCTGCAGAAAATTCTATGAGCATCCAAATTATTTCTAACTTAGGGGTAATTTATCGTCCATCGCATCATTTCTCAAATTGCAGGAATAATTAAAAAATAAACAAACACATCAACCATTATAACCAACATGCAGTGAAAACCATGAGAAAGTTCGTCACACAACAACTAGAAATTAAACATCGACCTAAACTAAAGCTAAAATTGGTTATCCTAACAAACAAATCTAAGTGTGTATAGTATGTTGTGTGGTTTTGATATATCATATGTTAATTATTAGTTGAAGTTTTCTAATCAATTGAATTTTGTTTGTTGAAAGCTCAAGAGAAATTTGATATGTAAATTTAAGTTTTAGATGATTTAATATTTTTAAAGTTTATTTTTGGTTAGAATTTAGGGTATTTTAATTAAACATTTTTTGTCTTTATTTATTTATTTGATGATTTATTAAAAAAATATTGGTTGCTTATATAATTTGATGATTTATTAAATTTTTATGATTTTTTGATGATTTATATTTGTCGAGTTCGTCCGCATTCCAACTATATTGCATTTTAAAACATCTCCATAAGATTTCAAATATTAAATTAGCCTATGTCTGTATTTGCTGCCAAGTATGGTGAAAAATTGAATATGGGGAACAATAG